CAAGACATACATGAATGCTGAAGATAAGAAAGTGTTGTTGGGAGATGCTCACACCACTAATGTTGCTGGAATTGGAGATGTTGAGCTGAAGTTCACTTCAGGAAAGACCTTGATCTTGAAGGACGTCATGCATGTTCCTGAAATTAGGAAGAATCTTGTTTCTGGTTTTCTTTTGAATAAGGCTGGGTTTAGTCAAACTTTAGGGGCAGATTTGTACACCATCACTAAGAATGGTATTTTTGTAGGAAAAGGGTACGCCACTGATGGCATGTTTAAGTTGAATGTTGATTTGAATAAAATTTCTTCTTCTGTTTACTCTTTGTGTGACTTTACTATTTGGCATGGTAGACTTTGTCACGTTAAGAAGCGAATGATTTCCAATGCAAGCAACATAGGCCTAATTCCTAAACTAAATGTCAATGATTCCAATAAATGTGAATTTTGTAGTCAAGCAAAAATAACAAAGACTTCACATAAATCAATTATAAAAGAATATAATCCCCTAGATCTTATACACTCTGATATATGTGAATTAGATGGAAGTTTAACTAGAAATTATAAACGTTATTTTATCACTTTTATTGACGATTGCTCTGATTATACTTATGTATATCTAATGAAGAATAAAAGTGAAGCGCTTGACATGTTTAAGGTGTATGTAACTGAAATTGAGAATCAATTTAACAAGAAGATTAAGAGACTTCGCAGTGATAGGGGAACCGAATATGACTCTAGCTTGTTTAATGATTTTTATGCTGAACATGATATTATACATGAAACGACTGCTCCATACTCTCCTGAAATGAATGGTAAAGCAGAAAGAAAGAATAGGACTCTTATTGAACTTGTATGTCCTGAATAAAGTTCCCAAGTCAAAAAGTAAGATCTCATCTCATGAGATATTAAAGAAAAGACAACCAAATTTGTCTTATTTGAGAACTTGGGGCTGTCTGGCTTATGTCAGAATTCCGGATCCGAAACGAGTTAAACTCGCTAGTAGAGCCTATGAATGCGTATTCATTGGGTATGCAGCAAACAGTAAGGCATACAGGTTTTATGACCTAAATGCCAGAGTAATCATAGAATCAAACGATGTTGAATTCTATGAAGACAAATTTCCTTTCAGATCGAGAAATAGTGGGGGCTCACAATCGAGTCACATTCCTGTGATAAAAAGCACTAAAAGCAGCGACAATGTAGAAACAGAACTTCGAAGAAGTAAAAAAGCAAGAGTTTCTAAAGAATATGGGGCCGATTATGCGGCCTATAATGTAGAAGAAGATCCAATAAATCTTCAAGAAGCACTGTCATCTATGGATGCAGACTTATGGCAAGAAGCCATTAATGATGAGATAGATTCTCTAGAATCTAACAAGACCTGGCACTTAGTAGACTTACCCCCGGGTTGCAAACCAATTGGTTGCAAATGAGTTTTGAAAAAGAAACTAAAACCTGATGGAACGATTGAGAAATACAAGGCTCGCCTTGTAGCCAAGGGTTTTAGACAAAGAGAAAATATAGATTTCTTCGACACCTTTTCTCCGGTCACTAGAATTACATCCATTAGGGTACTCATTTCAATAGCAGCCATTTATAACTTAATAGTACACCAAATGGATATTAAAACAGCTTTTTTAAACGGTGACTTAGAAGAAGAAATCTATATGGAACAACCAGAAGGGTTTGTAATCCAAGGACAAGAAAGCAAGGTCTGTAAGTTAGATAAGTCTCTGTATGGACTAAAACAAGCCCCTAAACAATGGCATGACAAGTTTGATAACTTAATGATAATTAATGGGTACAAAGTGAATGAAAGTGACAAGTGCGTTTATTACAAATCTGAGAATCGTATTTGTACTATCATATGTCTATATGTAGACGATCTACTTATATTTGGATCAAACGTTCAGACCATTAATGATATGAAATCATTGTTATGAAATAATTTTGATATGAAAGACCTCGGAGAAGCAAGCGTGATCCTGGGTATCAAGATCACGAGATCCGACCAAGGGATTTCTTTGGATCAATCTCACTATGTGGAGAAGATCTTAAAGAAATATAAATACTTTGATTGTAAACCTGCATGCACTCCGTATGATACAAGTGTGAAATTGTTTAAGAACACTGGAGAAAGTGTCAAACAAGCAGAATATGTGAGCATCATTGGCAGTCTTAGGTATGCCACTGATTATACTAGGCCCGACATTGCATATGTCGTAGGATTGTTGTGCAGATTTACAAGTAGGCCGAGTGACGAACATTGGCAAGCTATTGAGCGAGTAATGAGGTACCTTAAAAGGACTATGGACCTCGGCCTACACTATCAGAAATTTCCTGCTGTACTAGAAGGGTATAGTGACGCAGATTGGAACACCTTATCGGATGATTCCAAAGCTACTAGTGGTTATATATTTAGTATAGCCGGAGGAGCTGTATCTTGGAAATCAAAGAAACAGATCATTCTGACACAGTCCACAATGGAGTCTGAGATGATAGCATTAGCTACAGCTAGTGAAGAAGCAAGTTGGTTAAGATGCTTGCTAGCTGAGATTCCTTTATGGGAAAAACCTATACCAGCTGTGTCGATTCACTGCGATAGTACCGCGGCTATTGCAAAAGTTGAGAACCGTTATTATAATGGTAAAAGACGTCAAATTAGAAGAAAACATAACACTGTTAGAGATTGTATCTCTAAAGGAGCTGTGAGAGTGGATCATGTACGCACTGATGAGAACTTAGCAGATCCTTTGACGAAAGGATTAGCTAGAGAGAAAGTCCATAATACTTCCAAAAAGATGGGACTAATGCCTATAAAGCAATTAGTTACTCATGATGGTAACCCGACCTAAATGACTGGAGATCCCAAGACTTAGGTTCAATGGGTAATAACAAGTTGTGAGTAATATGAAAATGATCATGCAAGTAAAGCATGAATCCTGAAGTAATGAGAGGATGAGATAATAGAAACTCTTAATGAGATCTATACTCTGTATGAGGGAGTACCTAGGCTACAGGAGTACTCTTGATAGATTCACCTATGTGACTGTGGAACTGAGGCCGGTCCCTATGGAATTTTGAGGCAGAATTCCTGGAGCATTCACTAAACCGGGATACACGTGCAGGGCCACTAAAGCACGGACTACAAGAATACACCTTACGGAAAGTTTGTGTGCGGGTCTGATGTCCGAGATAGAGTTCAAGACAATGGTGTCACTCTTGTTGAATCAGAATCCTACTCGCTACGCTAAGGTTCAAGTCGTAGACACCTTTGCTTATGCTCAATCTTAGAAACGTCTGACGTACTTCTAAAATCTCTTTTAAATTCAAGTGGGGGAATGTTGGAATTATATTAATTAGAGTGGAAATTGGAAAGATTTATTGACAATTAATGGGCAATAACTGAACACAAGTAAGAACTAATATAGAAGTGAATTTGAAAAGATTCATTTTAGTCCCACATTGAAGGGAATAGAAATATTAGTAGTGTTTATATATTCCAACTTGGTCAATTGGGTTGGGCCCTAAAGAGCACCCAATTTTGTGAAAGGAGTGAGGACACACCCATGACCATCAAGACACACGCGCGCGCGCCGCCGTCTGTCCGACCGGCTCGGCTCGGTTTGGTCTGGTCCGGTCTAGATGAATTATTTTTTGGACCCGAATTTATAGAATTTAATTATCATTAATTAATTAATATAATTCGGTGGAAAATTAATTAATAATAAATATTAATTAATTAAGAAAATAATTGGTCAGTAACTGTCATATTGACTAGATCCAGTATTTTCCCATTCTCCCACGGTTTTCTCCATTCACCACGAATTTCTCCCTACTCAGCCTTACTAGCTGCCTATAAATACAGGGTAGAAGTTCAGTAGTGGGCAGCGGATTTCAAAAACGTTCACACGAATTTTGATTTCCATCTTCTCTCCCTTAATTCTCTTCGTCTTTTCTTGTTTTTTCTTGTTTTTCGACTGGCTATTTTCGCCAGATAATGTGACTTAGAAAGGTGTATTTCTAGAGCGATTTATCAATCGTACGTTATTGAACGGGCTGTTTTATCCTGGAGACGTCGTCGTAAATCGACTGCTTTGCATATTTTGGCAGTACGACGAAACGTCTTAAAGAAAGCGACCTAGTACACGACTTGTCCCGATAATTTTCTTGTGCCAAACTCAATTTTTCAAATCCGAAAACAACGAGTATTTATATAAAATTTTGCATTTTTAACTTTAAAATATGAAGTGCCTACAGACTTTCTCCTCCTCGCCTTCACTTTTTTACAGGAAAAACCTAAGTTTTAGGACCGCATCCTCTATTATGACCGTTCCGTTCTGCCCCATTTTCTTGCAGGCTTTTACGGTGCGAGCCTAAACAAGGCGAACAAATGTAAAAAAAAAAAAAAAAAAAAAGTGAAGTACCAATATTGAATACACACTCGTACCAAATATACATATTGTATTCATTATTCGTAGTACTTCATTTTTTTCTCATTATTCTATTTCAAATAAAATTTGTTATTTTTTTAAATATCAATATAATATATTTATAAATTTAAATTACTTAATATATTTTGACATTATTATTAATTTTTTAAAATTTTAATAGTAATATTTTGTTGAGAAACTAACAATTTAGCTCTCTCCAATGTAGAGAAAATAGAAAACTCTTGTATTTTATTAATGTACCCTCCACGTACATCATATAGAAAACTCATTATATTTTATTAACGTACCCTCCTCTTACATCTTATAGAAAACTCATATTATATTTTATTAACGTACCCGTAATTTGATTTTGGAAAAAATGTCATATCTCATACCAAGATTGGCGGGGTACCGAACCTGTATTTATGCATCATAGATTACAGATGTGAAATAATCCTGTAAATTATGTGTTGCTCTCTATCATGTTCCTTTATCATATGGGCAAAACATTTTCATCAATAGAACTCAAACTATGATTGAAGAAAACAAAATTGGTCCAAATTAATTCACTTATTGATGCCTCTCCAAAAACTTCTCTATTACGACAGAAAATGCAGCAAATCCAGCACAACCAAAGCATGCAGCTTTTGGACCACCTACAACCACACAAAAACATTGGAAATGTCACTGCAAAGACATGTACTATTTGTAAAACGAGCAGCATTGAGGGTTTCAATTCCTGATAAGCCAGTTCATTATCCAGCCTGATTATTGCTTCTTTTTTCCCTTATAACATCAATTTGCTTTTCATCTTAACAGTCTACAATGCACAAATTTATTCAGCAACGAGGTAATACATGAATGAAAGATCGAGAGATCTAAAACTGAAATTGTAGTGCCTACTGCCTATATCAAGCAAACACTACTACCACTTTCAGAACTCCCATGAAATGAGAACTTGCGGTTACAAATGTTTATTCTGATTTTTTATTTACATCAACAGCACTGAGTTATAATAAAATAGAAAAAAACTTTGAAAATGGATAAACAATAACTCTAAAATAACTTTCTGTTTGGGTGAAATGTATCAAAATAAATGTTTGGGAGCCACCACATTGACAGCAAACTTCTAAAAGTACACTTGCCGAACTCAACCTTCATCCACCTTAGTCACTCCTATAAATACTCTTCATTCTAAATTCCTAACCAACCAAACACCATAAGAAGCAACCCCCCACATCATGACAACATATTAATTTTCACAACTTGGACAATTCCAAATTCCCAATAACAGGCTGAATCGCAATCTGTTAGGATTAAGTGTTGTCGACAATCTTGTAAGATTGGTGGGGATTGGCAAATATCTTGGTGGTATTGATGATTTAAACTGGAAAGATTGTCCCGATTAGATATCTAAAATTTGACTACTTAATTTTGATGTTTAGGTCTTGCCACTTGTTAAAAACTTCAAGTTTTGTATTTCTATTTTTGGAGCTGCTAAGTTGCACTTGTTAATACTCCGGCTTAAATTGGTAATTTGTGACTTATGAATTGTGTATGATTTTAATAAGGACTTTAAGTTTAAGTTTAATTAAGTGTTTGTAGTGATCTCATGATCTATTTTCGTGATAATGGATTTAAATGCGGATATATATAGATGAGTTTTATGAGTTTGTAGGATTATATGATCCGTGTTACTACCCTGTGATTTACAATCTTTAACTCTCAGTTCCCAATCTTAGATAAATTTTGGATTAGACTAGGGCAAAAGACAGAGTATAAACTCGGCCTTGCTTTAAGTTTATCATTTTGCCAAACAGAATTACAGGACTTAGAGTGTACGCTTACAACAACCAAAGGTATACTCTAGCATTTAGTTAAAACTTAGTTTCAGTGGATATCCATTACCAAAGTCCTTATCACTCACTTCTGGTCATCCTGCATTGGTTTTTTTTAGGAAATTTTTTTGCTCTCACACACCTCAAAGGAGGTATGCCAGGTCATGTCCTAGTCATTTCTTAAATACAGGCTATGAGAGACAAAAATATAATAAATGACAGGAAATGAATGAAAAAGAGGGTTACCTTTTGCTGATATAGCACCTCCAGTAGTACATCCAGCAATAGCAGTATTTGTGATGTCGTGTTTTGCTCGTGCCTGAAAAGAAGAAAAAAAAACCCAGATGATAGGAAGAAGAATTAAATTCACATGCTTGATGTAAATATAGATTTTCATCGCAAATCCATTAGACCTTCTCAACAACACACTCGGCAGCTGAGAATACAAAACCCATAACAGCAAACGCTTTGGCAGAACTCCAACTCCTTCGCCCCATTTGTTTTGCTTGAAATATAATTTGTTGTCTGCCAGTCATTTCCTCTTGCATTAGAGGGTTGTCCAGTGCTCCAAGAAACAATCCCATGAAGATGCCAAGACCACCACCTAAAGTTCATCACATGAATCCCAACAAACAATTTTTCAACAGTACATACCTCAACAGTTAGCAAAGTCTCTAAATCCGGAATTATTCTTCCATGACATTTGATATTTACCAGTAACTCAGTTATTTTAACATTTGTACAGTAAGAAATTTCCAAATCCATTCCTTTTATCTCGCAAAATGCACTCACTAGTTACTTATATAAATTTGGGGAGTAATAATTTTTGTTGGTATCAGTGTTTAGCATGGTTCAAACTGAGGTTAACACAGCAACCACCAAACCCTTCTCCTATAAGATAAAGTCAAATCATTTAATCATGATGGATTAAAGGAAAAATGTCGGATAATAAATCATGTTCATTGTTCAAACTGAGGTTCTTTAACAGATCAGTTTCAGGTGACTACATCACATCAGAAAACCTTGAAAAGAAACACCAAATTTAAACAAATATTTGAAGGCATTAGTTTTAACTTTAAAAACAATTCATAAGAGGTAAATTATCATAGTTACAAATATTTGGAAAACCAGAATAAAGAAAATGGAGGTTCAATAATCATACCCATGACTCCGCTAACAACACTGCGCACAGCGCAATTGTTCCAAATATCTTGGCCGCGAATTTCCTCAACGGTGGGCAAACCTATGGGCTGAATCTGAGGCTTCTCAACTTCTTTCGAGTTCAAAGAATCATTTGAAACAGCTTTCTCCGAGGCATCAGCCATTGTTGAAGCACAAAGCTAGTTAAATTGAAATCACCACACAAGCTGTGCAATGAACAATAGATGAATCACTTCAAAATGTGTATCCTATACAAGTATAATAAAAATTAAAAACCTAAGAGTAATTTAATTTAAATTTGTAATGAAAAGAAAAGTGAATGATGATAATAAGTTCTATATTTTCAAATCAATGATACTACATTGAATTGATGGCGAAAATTACAAACCTAAGAACTCGGGGGAACAAAATACAGATGAGAGAGAGAAAAGTCACCACTGGTGAAGACGCTGTAGGCTCCGCGGGAGAGAAAGAGAAGCGTGGTGCTTCAATTTGAAGTTGCAAAACCCAAAACCCTTGCTTGTGCTTGGGGTCTAGACTCTACAGTTTGGGTTCTACGATTTCCCGCAGACGCAGTTGAAGTTTCACGCAGTCACTGAAGTCATCTGAATTTAGACCGTTCGATTTATCTCTTGTCCATAATTGTGCCACGTCAATAATTGTTTTAATATTTTTTATTTATTAATTTCTTTTATGGGTGTTCCTAATGCATTTTGTACCGTTTTAATGCTAAAGGTTATTCGAATTTTAAAAGGAAAAAAATGTGTGATATGATTTGTTTTTGGTTAGTAATTAGAAATAAAATCAATGTAATTTGAGTTTATTTAGTTGGTTTAGTTTTTTACAAAATATTTGTTGAGTTATAAATACACATATAAAAGACAACATAATATATATTAATAAATAACAACAAGTGGAGTTGTTGACAAAGCAAATGTCAAAACTTCTACAACAAATCAAAGAGATGCAAGAAGTTCCCAACAAAGCTCAACAAATTGCAAGTTGTGAATTATGCAAAGGTGATCATCCTACCGAATATTGTCCACCGGTCGTTGAAGAAGTCAACTATGCGGGAAACCAAATTAAGACTATCAACCAAGACTACCATATCAAAGCAATAACTAAGGCTACCAACCGAGAGGTAATAGCCAAGGTTACCAACAAGGGTGGAGACAAGAGTCGAGAAATTTTAACCGTCAACCTTACCAAAGTTACAACCAACCTCAACAACACCAAGGTGGAAGTTCAAAGATAGAGGAAACTCTTAATCTATTCATGCAAATATCAATGTCCAAACAAAAGAGCATCAACCCTCTTTTAGGAATCTTGAGCCTCAAATTGGGCAATTGTCTAAACAATTGGTTGATCAACAAAAAGAAGCCTTTCCGGCTAAGCCTCGATTGGATCCTAATGAGGTGTGCAAAGTTATCCTTAATAGGAGTGGTAGAAAGATTGATTTGGGAATTGGTAAGAATGAAGTGGAGAAGGAGGTTGTAGTTGAAAAAAAATGATGATGATGAGTTAGTTGAAAAGGAGGAGGAAGTTCAAGAAAATGTGAAGGATGATTTAGTTAAAAAGAAACAGAGAGAAGAGAAAACGAATAACGATAGGAAGGGGAAGGAGCAAGTGAACATTCCTATTCAACATTTACCTTATCCTCGTGGTCCTACAAAAAGGGATAACACAGGGAAACATGATTGGTTTATGGATATTTTTAACCAATTGTAAATCAATATTCCATTTGCTGAGGCATTAGAGCAAATGCCTACTTACGCGAAAATTTTGAAGGACATCATCATAAATAAGAAACGATATATGGATCAAGAAACCGTAAATGTTGATGCTAGTTGTAGTGCAATCATTCAAAGGACTATTCCTAGAAAATAAAGTGACCCGGGAAGAGTTACTTTACCGGTTACCATCGGTAATACCTATGTTGGTAATGGGTTAATCGATTTGGGCTCTAGTATAAATTTGATATTGTTGTCAATTGTTAAAAGATTGGGAAACATGGAGTTGAGGGCTACTATAATGACTTTTAAATTAGCTGATAAATCAACTACCCGTCCTCACGGTGTAGCTGAAGATGTATTGGTGAAAGTTGATAAGTTTTTGTTTCCCATTTACTTTGTGGTGATAAACATGGATAAAGACGATGATGCTCCTCTAATTCTTGGGCGACCTTTCATGAAAACAACGAGAATGACCATTGATAGGATGACGGTCTTATAAAAATGTGAGTTTAAGATGAAGAATTTTACTGTAATCTCTTTGAAGTCATGAAGCATTCAAAAGAAAAGAATGGTCGTTTCTATCTTGATGCAATGGAGGAAGTGATTAAAGAGGCGAAAAAGGAAGTTCATGTTGCTACTCCCTTAGAAAAAGTCCTTACTCGTGCTTTGTTAAGTCTCAAGGAGAGTGAAGAAAATGAAATTGAAAAGTGTTTGCGAGAACTTGAAGCATTATAAGAAGACCCAAGCTTGGAATAGCTGGAGGAGGTTTTGAAAAAAGAAAAGGTGGAAGACACCAAAGTTGAGTTAAAAAATTTTCCCCCAAATTTAAAGTATGTGTTTCTTGACGATAGGGGGAACAAACTGGTGATTATAAGCAATGAACTAACCATGGAAGAGGAAGAAAATTTGATTGTGGTGTTGAAAAAGAATCAAAATGCTATGGGTTGGACTCTTACTGATTTAAAAAAAATAAGCCCATCCTATTGCATGCATATGATCTTAGTGGAGGATGACTTTAAGCCGGTAGCTCAACCTCAACATCTCTTAAATCCTACCATGAAATAAATGGTTAGGAAAGAAGCGGTGAAAATGCTTGAGGCCAGAATGATTTATTCTATTTTCGATAGTCCTTGGTTTAGTCTGGTGTAAGTGGTACCGAAGAAAGGTGGGATGACGGTGATTCAGAATGAAAAGAATGAATTAATATCAACAAGAACCGTAGCTGGTTGAAGAATGTGTATTGATTATTGTAGGATAAATAAAGCTACGAAGAAAGATCATTTTCCCTTACCTTTCATGAACCAAATGCTTGAGAGGCTTTTCGGTAAAAAATTATATTGTTTTCTTGACGGTTATTCGGGTTACAACCAAATTATTTTTAACCAGGAGGATCATGAGAAAACTGTTTTTACATGTCCTTTTGGGGTCTTTGCTTATAGGAGGATGCCTTTTGGATTGTGTAATGCTTCAACTACTTTTCAGCGGTGCATGCAAGCAACATTTTTTGACTTGATTGAAAAATCCATTGAAGTTTTCATGGATGACTTTTCGGTTTTTGGGCCGTCATTCAATCTTTGTTTGAAAAATTTGGATGTTGTGTTGGAAAGGTGTGTGAAAACTAATCTTGTGCTTAACTGGGAGAAATGCAACTTCATGGTTATGAAAGGAATTGTGTTCGGCCATAAAGTTTCTTCAAAGGGCTTTGAAGTTGACCAAGCTAAAGTGGAGGTTATAGAGAAGTTGCCACCACCCTTGAATGTGAAAGGAATTAGAAGCTTTCTCGGCCATGCAGAATTCTATCGAAGGTTCATCAAAGACTTTGCAAAGATTGCAAAGCCCTTGAATCATTTGCTCAAAAAAGATAAGTCTTTTCAATTTGATGACTCATGCATGCTTTCTTTTAATTCTTTAAAAGAGAGTTTGACTACCGCACCCGTAATTATGGCTCCCTATTGGAAACTTGATCTTGAACTCATACGTAATGCTAGTGATTATGCCGTTGGTTCGGTACTTGGTCAAAGAAGAATGAAAAGCTTTCATGTTATACACTATGCAAGCAAAGTCTTGAATAAGCTCAAATAAATTATGCCACTACGGAAAAAGAGCTTCTTGCGGTAATGTATGCATTGGAAAAATTATGGTCTTACCTCATTAGGTCTAAAGTGGTTGTTTACACGGGCCATGCGGTGATTAAGTATTTGCTAACCAAACCAGATTCTAAACAAAGGCTTATTAGATGGGTCCTTTTGTTGCAAGAATTTGAACTTGAAATTCGTGACAAAAAGGGATTCGAGAATTTGGTGGCGGATCACTTATCCCGTCTTATGAATGTGAAAGTGACTAAAAATGAATTTGAGGTTAAGGAAGAATTTCCGGGTGAGAAGTTGTTTATGGTTCAACTTAGGCCTTGGTGTGCCGATATTGCAAATCACAAAGCTGTCAGAGTGATACCAAAAGGCCTAACTTAGAATCAAAGAAAAAATTATTGTTTGATGCCAAGTCTTTTGTATGGGATGGGCCTTATTTGTTCAAACTTGGTGTTGATAACCTTTTGAGAAGGTGTGTTACGATTGATGAGTCAAAGAACATTATTTAGCATTTTCACAACTCACCTTATGATGGTCATTTTAACGCATTAAGAACGACAATGAAGGTCCTTCAATCGGGCTTTTATTGGCCTTATTTGTTCAAAGATGCTCATGTGCATGCTCAAATTTATGACAATTGTCAACGGAGTGGAGGAATTACAAAACAGAATGAGATGTCGTTACAAAATATGTTGGAGGTGGAAGTATTTGACTGTTGGGGAATTGATTTTGTTGGTCTATTTCCACCTTCATTTTCTTGTGAGTACATTCTTGTTGCTGTGGACTATGTGTCCAAGTGGGTGGAAGCGATAGCTTGTGCTAAAGCAGATGATAAAATTCCTGAAGAAAAACATTTTTTCACATTTTGGTATGCCTAGAGTGTTAATAAATGATGGAGGATCCCACTTTTGCAATGCTCCATTAGAAAAAGCCTTTGAGCACTATGGTGTGAAACACAAAGTGACATCACCATATTATCCTTAGGCTAATGGGTATACTGAAGTATCAAATCATGATATCAAGAGGATTCTTGAGAAAATTGTGTCTTCTTCTAGGAAGGATTGGGCAACAAGCTTTATGAAGCTTTGTAGGGTTATTAGACCGCATTAGCCTGAGGATCTATGATAAGACTTTTCATTTTCCAGTAGAGTTGGAGCATAAGGCTTTTTGGGCCTTAAAATTCTTGAACTTTGATTCCACTTTAAGTGGTGAAAAGAGGAAAGTGCAACTTCATGAATTAGATGAATTGCGACTTCAAGCTCATGACTCCAACAAACTTTACAAGGAGAAGGTGAAAAAGTATCATGACAAGAATATTGCGAGGAAAGACTTTCATGAAGGACA